AAAGACTCTTTTTCTGTCTTCAAAGATGAAGCCAGACTCTTTTCAATGAAAGGATGAGAGGTAGGGGGCACAAATTGAAACACAGGAAATTCCATTTAAACAGAAGAGAAAGCTTTTTTTACCATGAGGGTGGTTGAACACTGGTCCAAACAGGTTATGGAGGCTCCATCCTTGGCAATACCTGAAACCCAACTGAACATGGCCCTAAGCAACCTGCTCTACTTGACCCTAGACTGAGCAGAGGTGGCTGAATAGAAAATTTCCTGAGATTCCTTCCTACCTCAACAATTCTGAGATTCTGTAAAGTTTGAAATTTGAGGGTTTGGGGGTCTTCTTTAAGTTCAGAATAAGTTTACACAGGTGATACAGGAATTTGCATGGCCTCCTCCACTATTGAGTCCTGTACACATACAAGTTCCCAGTATCACACTGACATCCTTATCACAGCTGTGGCTAATCATTTACATTGCTGTAGTGGACATATCAGTAGACAGTGAAGGCTACATCATATCATCTCAGCATTATAGAGAGTAAACAAACAGACTGTATTATCATTAACCGTTTTGTAGAATCTGGAACCCAAGGTGGTATCCTGGGCTAAGATTATTTATACCAGATACTTAATGCTGAGTACTAAAAACTGGAAAACATGCTGAAAATTAACAAATGTTGCATGCAAGGCAGATATATGGGCATTACATACCACTTCTCAAATATTATGCAGTAAACTGGTTAACATGGTGCTTATTGTATGGCAGTTGTAGGTTAAATCAATAGCAAAAGAAACAAAAGCAAAACTAACGAGGAGGAAAAAACAGATAAAGAACCTCCAGATGCTTTCTTGAATATAAGACACTGAAAGAGCTGCTAGCCTCAGGCTCAGTTTTCAGACAAGTTTGAGACTGCTGCATTCCACTTCCTGAACACGGCAGCTTTCGATTTTGGCCCCAAGGAAAGAAAAAGCACCTGTGGGAAAAAGATTTGGTTTGCCTCTACACTTTCAAGGCAATGCAATTAGAAGAGACCAAAACACAGCCAGAAACAAGGTAGCAAGGCTGTGAAATGTGGTCAGGTTGTAAAATCACCCAAATAGAACACCAACATGAAAAATACCAGGCAAATCACATCCAGCCCATCAAAAGCAGGTGGGAAAGTTTGAAATACAAGAGCTAATGCCATCCTCTAGATGAAGTAACCAACAGGTACTTGCCAGGATGAGTCCTAACTGTACTATTTGGGACCCTGATTACAGGTTTCTACTGTCATCACCAAGGAGGGATGAATGCTTATTAACTCAGGCACTAGGATACAGACTTCACATTGTTTTTTTGTGGATAATATCCTAAGGTATTTGAAAAGAAAATGATACACTGTTATTTTTCCTTCTGAAGTGTCTACCAGTCACACTGCAGTATTTATGGTTCCTGTTTCACAATCTCTTTAAGGGAGTGTATATAGGGAATGCTGCCAAAACAGGTCTTCCCACCTGCTCTCATCTTTTTACCAGCATTACTGAACTGGTAAAGTGAGGATAACTTTGGATGTCTACTAAAGCTTGCTAGGACCCTACCTAGAAAAGATGTTTGAGCAGACTTTTTTCAGGTATTTATGTTTTGTTCCTGACTCTAAGACTAAACTATTATTTAATTTTGTATGTTCCATTTATCAGAGCCCAGCTAATGTAGCGTGGTCTATAACCTAGGACCAAATGTGAGTGAAGAAGACACATCCTGGACAGCGGGGCGGGGATGGGAGGAGACGAAATTATAATATTCACTGAACTTAAAGAAAGAGACCCAGCTAGAACTTGAGCTTAATTGAGAATTAATGACAAGAGTAGAAAGTAAAGTAGAGCAAATCACAAAAAACTCCTATGTTTTGGCAGAAAAGTACGGAAAGAATAAAAATGTACCATCACATGTTAATTACAACTCTTGTAAACAACAACAAAAAAAGAGGATGATCGTTGAAGGTTTGGATACAGGTTCCACGCTTGTCTACCAACTGCATCTGCGGTGGCCGATTCTGGCGTATTTTTATGGGCGCAAAGGTGGGAACAGACATGCAGGCACACAGGGATGGAATGAGGGCGGCTGGAAACGTTGTTGGACCTCGCTCACGCACGGGGAAACCAAAGAAAAGGCTCCTTGTCCAGGCTACCTGCAGCGGAGCGTATTTATGCGCACACGACGAAGAAGAGCTCCGAGGATTTGAGGAGCGCAGCGTTCCCGGGCGGCCTTACCGCCCTTCAGCACCCCTTGGGCCGGCCGTAGGACTCCCGGCCGGGCCGGTGAGGAGCCCCGGTGCCGGAGCCGGGCGGCTGCGGGTGAAAGGAGGAGCTGTGAGGAGGGGCGGCCGCCTCAGCGCCCGGACGAGGGGGAACCGGGGAGAGCCACACCGCCCACGGCGGGGGGGCCGGCGGCCGGGGCCGGCCCCGCGCCTGGAAGGCGGCCGGGCGGTCCGGTGCTGCCCCGCAGCCCTTTGCGGACCCCCCTCCGCCCCCGGCATTGGGGGTGAGGCGCAGCGCTGCCGGAGGAGGCGGGGATGGCAGCGCCGCAGGCCGGGCGGCGCCTGCGGCCGCTCCGCCACGCGTGAGGAAACTTTC